CTCTATACAGCTTATTTACTCTTCCTTTCCTTAAGTCAACTCTTTTGTGAGCTTTATGCATCCCCAAATTTCATCAATGCGCTGTGATGATCTTTCTTACGAAATCAATTTTGTTTTATTTTATTTTAAGTGCTTCAAAGCGAAAACTTTAGTACTCCATTCTGCTTTCCTTTTGAGAAATGTTTTGAATTGCATAAGTAAATCAAATCAAATCAAAAATGTTGCAAATAAAAAATTCAATCGAATCAATGAGTACTTAATATGGAGTTCGTCTACTTTCCACATCAAATCAAATTTGTCCCACATTCGATACAAATCCTGCGTCAATATTTTATGACAATGAAAATTAAAAACACAAAAAGGACGAATAAAAGCAAATCAATGAATTGAAACGAAATCTAACAGAAAAATAATGCCAAGCTCGTGATTTTTGGTGTTGTTGTACTTGAAAACATAAACAAATTTGAGCTCATAAAAGAAACAAAAATGGATTGCTGCCATGTTTCGCAGGGACTCATAAGGACATGCACATGTATAAATAAGTTAAAGTTCGAGGTATGCATGCTTGTGGCAAGTATGTCATTTATATATGCCGGAATATGTACGTGTGTCCTTGCTTACATATATCGAAACAAATATTTGGTGAGCAACACCTGCACTCAATGGTTGCCAGATAAAGTTTAGCTTATGCAAGAAACCATATGTGGGTCCTTATAAATTGTTGCATTCAGGTTTGTTTTACTGTTTATGACTTTACTTAGTAGCTGCTGTTGTTTTGTTGTGTTGTTGTGCTGTTGTGCTGTTGTTCTATTTTGTTGCTCTTGTTGCTGCTGTTGCCATTACTTTTGCTGCTAACATAGATATATCAGCAGTAAATTCGCATAACGACACAAATATCATATTTCCTTAGCAAACAAAACATTGACACATACACACACCCACATCGACATCCACATCCACTTAACCTCAGCAACACCCACCCACTTCATAATTTGGTGCTCAGTATTCATGATGGCGCACATATGCACTTCGTTCGACATGGCACACAATTTTGGTGTTTGTATCTGTATCTGTATCTGTGGTTGTGACTGTAGCTGTAGCTGTGGCTGTGGCTGTGGCTATATTTGTATCGATATGGATATCGATATCAATGGCTCTAATAGTTTGTCACATGCTTCATAATGACAGTTGTATGACAGCTTCCATACAAGTTTTAATCTCTGCAAGAACATTGACGTGCTTGTTGTGCTGCATGCCTCAGCCTTCATAGCTGACAACGTATTAGACTACAT